AATATCATGGATAAAAGAAATAATGAATTTTATATAGTGTTTTTTTTTTCGAAACTCGACATGAACAAAAGAAATTGACGGATTTGGACGAACAAAGAAATGGAACGCAGAATGACGTTAAAGTCTGCGAAAATGTTTCATCTTTTTAATAATAATCAATTGTGCTTTGTTTAATTTGTTACGTATATAAATGTATCTGGAAAAAAAGCAAATGTTGATGAGAGAGCGAAGGTAAGAGATAATCAGTGTTCGGGGGGTAGTACGTGCCGGTCCTTGTAGAATGTGTCGCGGTTGAAAATTGAGGCAAACCAGAATGATCGCATGAAACAATAACGAATTTAATTACCCCGAAAATGATCTTCAACAATGACAGTGACCCAAATTCGGCACTAAATAATCCTCAAATTTGAAAACAGTGCCCCAGATAATCCCCAAATTTGTTAAAATTACGCCAAATAATCCCCCCACCGAAATAATCACTCAAATTCGACAATAGTCCCCCAAATAATCCGCCAAATTCGACGATAGTCCCAAGACAATACTACAAATTGGACAATAGTCCCCCAAAATAATACCCCGAATTCGATAATAGCGTCTCAAATAATCACCGACATTCGGCAATTGTCCTCCAAATAACACCCCAAATTCGACAACAGTCCTCTCAATAATACCCTAAATTTGATAATAGTCCCCCAAATAATACCTCAAATTTGACAATAGTCCCCCAAATAATACCCTATTTTCGACAATAGACCCCCAAATAATACCCCATTTTCGACAATAATCATAGTATTATGTCGTTTAGATTTTACTGGTGTGGTGTAATCATATATATATATATATATATATATATATATATATATATATATATATATATATATATATATAATCATTAGATAATCAACTAAATTTTCCTCTTGAGTCTGGAGTTGTATATTTCTTAATTATGTTTCTAAGGTTAAAATTGTCCTGCTTATAAATAACATGCATTTGGATTTTTAGAGAAAATATTAATATTAATTTTTTTTCATGTCCACAAGTTATTGTTTTTTTTATGTTCACAATGAAAACCATTATTAAAAAAATACCCAACCCCGGTCTGAGAGAACAATAAGATTAAGTTGATTATATTTGATAAATGGTCAACAATAGCAACTGATCAGCAAGCTCCAAACTACATAGGAGCAACAGGAATTATGAACTTACATGTCCCTTATGGAACTGCGTTCCTGGCGAAAACAAATCCATAAATGATAACATTGGATATACAACAACATGCCTATCGCTAAGACTTACTTTGCATTTCACGATTCAGAACTTCATGAGGAACCATTTAAACACACGCGGAAACCTACCAACCTCCGCCCACAACATACTTTTGAAAACAGGAACATAACAAATTCATACACATGAAGAAAGCGGTTAAAATATGTATGTATGATTGAGTTTAATATATATGCATGGTGAGCAAAAAGGAATATATATTTTGTCATCGGACACAAAAGAATTTTACTGTTGAAATGGTCAGTTGTAGACGTAAGTTCTATGTTAATTGTTCCTTCTTTCATACTTGTGGAACTCTCTCCCGACTTCTTGCTTTCCACTCAACTTTGATCTTCAAACGTTTAAATGTAATGCCAATCGTTATCTTTTGTTTTCATAATTCCTTTTATTTTATTAATCTCTCTCTTAATAATTATTTTCCTTCATATTATCCGACACTCAAGTAATCTCTTGCCTCTTAGTGGCACTTTATATATATTATATATATATATATATATATATATATATATATATATTAAATGACCAATGATAAGTGAGCAAAAAAATTGAGAAATATAAGCAGTCAGTTGCTGATATCCTATGAAGAGTGATCGGACGGGTCTGTCGACAAAAATCTGGAGTCGGGATGCAGAAATTAATATCAATTATATATATATATATATATATATATATATATATATATATATATATAGAGAGAGAGAGAGAGAGAGAGAGAGAGAGTGTGTGTGTCTTTGAGAATGTCTTTTAATGTGTTTTCAACATAAAATTCGAAAACACATTAAAAATAAAATTCATTTTTATTTCTCATCTCATTGAGTAAGGACACAGGCATGTCCGAAAATTCCGAAATTTAAAATCTTTCTCATTTGAAAGCATTCAGCATTCATTGATCGAGCATCCAGTACTGCTTTCGGTAGAAGTTTATAAAATATTTCTCTTTTTTAAGGATATCAGGTTTCTGAAGTCCAGTAACTGTTATCGCTCTTCCAAGTACTGATGGAGGTTTCCTTCCTAACCTTTTATTTGAATTCGTGTGGAATGTCACCATACTTATTATTTCCTTATTTTGTTTTATATGAAAGTCTTGAACTGACAAGGCTATTTAAAAATGACTCGAGTTCTTACGTTAATGTTTCGGTTTTGTAGCAACTTGCGGTATTGTTTGAAACTATCTCTTACGCAGGCTATTCTCTGCGCGCGTGTGTGTTTAGAATGTTTTAGCTTTCAACATAAAATTCCATAATATAACACATTAAAAAAAAATTCATTTTTATTTCCCGTCACGTTGATAAAGTACACAAGCGTGTCCGAAAAATCCGGAATTTAAAATCTGTCTCATTGTGCTTACATTTGATCAAAAGACCTACTAATACACAATAAATATTATTAGTCTTATTAACAATATTATTACTTTTGTTTTTTTATCTCGCGAATTTCTTTCACCTGTCATATATATATATATATATATATATATATATATATATATATTTAAACACACACACAAACTTACCAGACTTTATTAGAAACATACTAGTAGAAAATACAAATATATTAAGTGCATCCACCTGTAAAAAAAGATTAAAAATAATGGCAGCTTTAATAATAAAAAAGTAAAAAACAACTCTTAACAATATTAACTACGAACAAGGCCACAATGTGCTAACCGTATTCGGAAATTAAAACATCCCTATACTACACACTAAAAACATACACATAATGCACACACTCAATTAAACTGAAAAATCGAATCATCCTTGATAATGGATAAATGTATAGCCGAAAGCGCTCGGAAATATAAAACATTTGGACAGTTCTTACACACCCTTTGTCCAGAAAAGAAAGCTCTTGTTCGAACACAAGAAAAATTAAATAAAAAGCTTAACCGTAGTACCTTGTCTGTCGTTTTTAATGAAGCATGCATAAACGAAGGATTGCTGCCTATATATATATATATATATATATATATATATATATATATATATACTATATATGGCAGACTCTCGCGTCGTATTCGACGTATGAGTGTCAAGCAGCTCAGTTACTTGGAACCGACAGCCCGACACCAGCACTTAAGATTTGATTGTAGTGGTGAAGGCAATGTGCAGGATCAACCACGCTTTTTGAAGGGCCGAATACAGAGACCTGGTGCACTACCTGGTCCCCCAAACAACCCTCTGCATGTTTTTGAATTCAGAGTTGTCCTTCTCCTAAACCAGTTGACATCCAAGGCTATAGAACCCAGTCTATCCTGCTATTTACCCATATATACATATATATATATATATATGTGTGTGTGTGTGTGTGTGTGTTTGTATTTATATGTGCCTATTCTTTTCTCTGTGATAAACATATTTCTTTGTTTTCATTTTATTTTCAATGTATTCAATGTATTTTTATAATAAACTCAGTTAAAATACATGTCTATAAAAAAAACCTTATATATTATCAGCCATTGAACGATGAGGTTTTGGAGAGGCTGCAAACAAGGAGGAAGCTTATACTTAACATCATCAAGATGCAGCTGAATTTTCTGGGATACGTAATGAGAAAGGACGGCTTGGAGAATCTGATACTCAGAGGTCGAACAGAGGGAAATAGAGACAAGGGGAAACAACGCATGACATAAGTAACAGGTTTAAGCAATTGGTTGACAGAACATGATCTGGGCGAAGTAGCAAAGGGACAAAACTTATTGTGGGCTACAAAGGATAGGGGAGAAGTGGAGGGCCATGATTACCTATGATCAATGTATTTCTGTAGTAAAATCAATTGCAATGCATTCCAATATGAAACCTGTGCATCATATGCTTGTATTGTTTCATTACATCCTGAATCTGACAATACATTTTAATTGTAATATCTATTTATCGTAAAATGATTTACAATGTAAACCTTTATGTAAATGTGCCATTTAACTAATTTATAATCATTGACAAAGACTTTTTTCCATTGTTTTCGGTGTATTTCCATTGCAAATCATTAACAGTGTAATTCTATATAAAAAAAAGTATCGAATTATAAATTATGTTCCATTTATTCCTAACCATTGACAAACCCTGCGTTTCGTCTATTTTTCAACGGTTTACTGGTTAAAAGCGTTGGTTTGTGAATTTGGTGACATAGTGATTCTGAGTTCAATCCCTGGGTCGGGTAGTGTGTACTTGAAATTACTCTAAATGGGCAAGCAATAAATGAACAGTACTAAATTATTGTAAGAACTGGATGATATCCCTAGACATGAACGATGGAACAAGAACGTTGTGATAACAACAATAAAGATGAGGATAACAGACCAAATATAAATAAAGTTTCTTTTTCGCCTTTTTCTTCTTTTTCGCCTTTTTCTTCTTTTTCGCCTTTTTTACTTTTTCTTCTTTTTTCTTCTTGTTCTCTTTTTCTTCTTACTATTTTTAACTTTTTTTGCCGTGTCCCTTCAAGATGTTTATGATCATGTCTCCCCACAATTTCCTGTGTTTTGTAGCTCTTAAGAAATTTCGTCTTTTTAACTCTCCCAAACCCTGTTTCACCATCCATTTACTCCTTCTTCTTCTTCTTCTTCTTCTATGTGTCGTGCCACTTCAGGACGCTGGCGATCATGGCTCTCCACAATTTCTTATCTTTTGTAGCTCTTAATAAATTTAATGGGGTAGTGTGTACTTGAAATCACTGTAAACAAGCGAGTAATAACTGAACCGTACGAGATAAAAAAAAATAAGAACTTGACGATATCCCTTTCTTTTTCTTTTTTCTTCTTTTTTCTTCTTTTTCTTCTTTTTCTTTTTCTTTTTCGTTTTTCTTCTTTTCACTTCTTTTTCTTCTTTTTTCTTTTCTCTTCTTTTTTCTTCTTTTTCTTCTTTCTTCTTTTTCTTTTTTCGTTTTTCTTCTTTTCACTTTTTTCTTCTTTTTTCTTTTCTCTTCTTTTTCCTTCATTTTCTTTTTCTTCTTTCTTCTTTTTCTTTTTTCGTTTTTCTTCTTTTCACTTCTTTTTCTTCTTTTTTCTTCTTCTTTCTTACCATTTTTAACTTTGTTTTCTTCCCTTTTCTATTTCCATTTCTTTTACATTCATTTGCACAATAATTTCTTCTTTTTTTTTTTTTTTTTTTATTGTTTTTTACTTTATTTTTATTTATTTATTTTTTGTTTTCCCTATTTTGGTCATTCACTTTTCTTCTCTCTCTTTCTTATTCCTAACCTCTCTCTTTTTATTATTTTTCTTCTTTTTTTTTTTTACTATTCTTCTCTCTTTATAACAATTCTGTATCTCTTTTCTTGAACCTTTCCAAATATCCTCTTCTCTGCTCTTTTTTTATTTTAATAATAATTTCCTTGCATCCTTTCCATCACTCTCCATTATTTTCCCGTCGCCCCCAACTTTACTTGTATCTTGTGCTGTGCCATTTTATTTCGAACACCAACTTGTATACATTTTCCTCCAAGAAAAAGAGTTAGATAAAGCATAAATCAGAAAGGAAAAAAATGATTTACTTACCTTTACGATCCTCAAAAAACAGCCAGAAAATTGCAGGTAAAAAAATTAACTCCACGCCTAAGATTTTCTGTTGTTATTTACAAATCCTTTCTTTATCTTTCCCGCCTGTTTTTTTTTTTATTTTGTTTCCTTTTTTTTTTTTTTGTTTCTTTTTATATATTTCCTCACGCTTGTTCTTTTTTTGTTTGTTTGTTTGCCTTCTTTTTTTCCAATATATCGCGGATCAATTATAAATACGTGCGTGATCCAAAGTTGATTTAATATTTCTCCTTTTTATAAGTCTTTCGTTTCGTTGCCATTAGTTTTTTCCTCTATTATATTTTTTTCTTCCCCACTTTTTTTTTTTTTTTTTTTTTATATATTTAATAAAACTCGTTTCTTAATTGTGGCTATCCTAAATGACTGCCGGCCCACGTGCCGGACATGTTGTTTTCTTCTGATCCTTTTGTGGTAAAATGTGTTGGTGATTATCAACAATTTGGGAATTATGACTGATCACTGACCGACACACGCGAATGTCCATCCGTGAGATTATTCTTAACCTTCTTCCTCTTTTTTTTTTTTTTTCAGTTTTTTTATTAGTAAGTTTTTGTCTCCACACAAGTTACAATGACTGATTATTATTATTATTATTATTATTATTTTTCCGACGACTTCAAATTCCCGCCAGTGTCAGGATGCACTGGCTGCTATATACGCAAGCGGTTTGAATTAAAAAGGCATCTTGAAATAAAGATGAAGAAGAAAACAAGAAATTGAGAACGGTGTTATAGACAATAGTAGTAGTAGTAGTAGTAGTAGTAGTAGTAGTAGTAGTAGTAGTAGTAGTAGTAGTACAAAAAGAAGAAAACTTCCGGATGCTAAACATGAGTTTTAAAAAGACACTTTATATGAAGAAGAACAAGAACAAGAAGAACAAGAAGAAGAAAAGGAAGAAGAAGAATATGAAGAAGAAGAACAACAACAAGAAAAAGAAGAAGAAAGGAAGAAGAATATGAAGAAAAAGAAGAAGAAGAATATAAAGAAGAAGAATATGAAGAAGAAGGAGGAGGAGGATTTACTGTGTTAAGAAATCGTCTGCAGATTAAAGAAGCCGAGTGGAAACGAAAAGAAAATGATGAGGAAAGGTTTGATGAAGAATTGGCTAAAATGAATCCATGAATTCGACACGAAAGAAGAAGAAGGAAAGAGACAAAAAATGTAAGAGAAGAAAAGAATTTTATTCCGGAAAGTTTTCAATGAGTGACGGGAATTTAACATAAAAGAAGATGCGAAGATATGATGGGCAATCACAAGGCTAAGACTGAAAGAAGGAGAAAGTAAAGATTAAATAGAAAGAAAGAAGGAAAGAAAGAAAGCAAAAAGAAAAGAAAGAAAGGAAGAAAAAAGAAAGATAGAAAGAAGGAAAGAAATGAAAACTAAAATAAAAAGAAAGGAACGAAAGAAAGACAGAAAAACAAATGAAAACTTAAAGAAAGTAAGAAAGAAAAAGAAAGAAAAAAGAAAGAAATGCTAAAATTCAGAAAAGAAAAGAGAAAGAAAATTAAAAAAAAGTATCTATTTTTACATTTATTTATATATAAATACTTACATATTTATATATTTATAGAAATACTCAGTTTGTAATTAGAAAGAAAGAAACAAACAAACAAACAAACGGACAAAGGAAGGAAGGAAGGAAGGAAGGAAGGAAGGAAGGAAGGAAGGAAGGAAGGAAGGAAGGAAGGAAGGAAGGAAATTACACTAGGAATTACGCAAACGAAATACAGAAAGTAATTAAAACTAAAAGAAATAAAGCTAAGTTATGAATGAAAAAGAAAAGTATCTGACAGAAAAAAATAATATTAATTGGTTGAAAAATACAAACAATGAAGGAATAATATGTATATATCTATATGAAGGCAAATCACGTAAGGAAATACCTCGTTTGATTAGTTCTAATCAATAACTGTCCGGCAGATCGAACTTTGACGGGAGAATAAATCACTATAAAAAAACAAAAAAAACAAAACTGTATACATATATCTATTTATATTTATGTATCTGTAGAAATACCCAGTCAGTAGAAAGAAAGAAAGAAAGAAAGAAAGAAAGAAAGAAAGAAAGAAAGAAAGAAAAGCTAAAATTTGTTCAGGTTTCGTGATCTAGCTCTATAAATGACGTCTTGCCGAACAGAAAATCCGTAAATGACAGACACTGCTAATTTTAATGTGAGATGAGATGAATAAATAACAAGTAAAGATTAAAAAAAAAGAAACGAAACCAAAAAAACTCGATCAAAAATAAAGAAAAAAAGTACAAGTGTATAGATGCAATAGAATGTGTATTTTAGCGTTTCTTTTGTGTTGTCCTTACGCGAATGCATGCATCGGGACCCGATCCGAAGATTCTCCCGCCTTTCGCTTTCGTGCGTTCTGAATCAGCGACGATGGGCGCTCTTTCGCCGACTGTAAATTCCAGCAGTAGAAGCAGCAGCGGCAATGACAGCTTCGGCGCCAATAATTATTCTGCATCTTTTTTTTTTCTTCTTCTTCTTCGTTCCAACTTCTCCCGCAGCCTCTTTTCTTCCTTCAAATATACCGACGCATATCCCACCCCTCGTGTGCGTCTCTCACTTTCGCTAGCTTCTTCTTCTTCTTCTTCTTCTTCAAATATACCGACGCATATCCCACCCCTCACGTACTTCTCTCATTTTCGCTATCTTCTTCTTCTTCTTCTTCTTCTTTCATTTTAATGCCCACATTAGGTACTTGGAGGTTATCGTTGGAGAATGAGTGGCAACAAGTCTATTCAAAAATGCAGAAGAGTTCACAATATCCTGTCCTCCTCTTCTTTTTCTCTTCTTCCTCCCCCCCTTCTTCTTTTTCTCCTTTGTTTAGTTCCTCCTCCATATTATTCTTCTTCTCCTTCCTCCTCCTCCTCTTCCCCAACTAACTTCTTCTTCTTCTTGCGCCTCTTCCATCACCTATCTTCTTCCTCCTCCTTTTTCTTCTTCTTCCCCTGTTCTTCCCTACCTATCTTCTTCCTCTTCTCACTCTTCTTCCTCCACTTCCTTCTTCTTCTTCTTCTTCCGCCTCCTTTGTCTTCTTCCTCCTCCTTCTTCCTCTTCTTCTTCTTCTTTCATGCTCACAATAAATACTAGTAGTAGAGCCCGGCGTTGCCCGGGGATGTAACAGTAAGAGATAGATAAAGTATCCACCATCATAAAGACTGAAAAATAAAATTGACAAAGATTATTGTTTAAGGTTGACGGACACGCATGTCTTAATTAGTTTTTGTTTTTTTTACGAATTGGTCAAACCCAAACTCAAACAAAAACATTGTTTTCAATCGTTATGAGTCTACCGATTGAATAGAATTTTATTATAAACAATTGTCTTGTAAATGGAATTTTTAAAGCATTCTGAATGTAAAAATAAAGAAAAAAAGTGAAGTTTTGTTGAAATCGGTGGAAAAATGTAGAAAATCCAATCCCATATATAAACGAACACACAAACAACCTGGGTTTTTATAATAAGTATAACTCGATACGAGTTGTCCCCCTTTCATTCTCGAAACAGCGATGCCTCTTACTTGTGTTTTCAAATTGATTTCGTGCAAAAACAATTGTGTTTTTCCAATTTTTGGCGCTGTCAGAACCACCGCAAGGTAATTTTACGCAGTCCTGTGAAGTTTTGTTGAAATCGGTTGAAAAATGTAGGAAATCCGATCCAATATATAAACGTACACACACACACACACACAACATGGGTTTTATAATAAGTATGATTTGGTGGTTATCTTTGGAGAATGAGTGGCAAACAATCTACTCAAATATTGAAAACCTTTCCTGAATATCTTGCCCTCTTCTTTCTTCTTCTTCTTCTTCTTCTTCTTCTTCCTCCTCCTCTTTCGCCAATTTTCTTTTTCCTGTTCCTCTTCGCTCACCTATCTTCTACTTCTTGCTCCTCTTCCCTCACCTATCTTCTACTTCTTCCTCTTCGTCCTTTTTCTTCTTCTTCCTTCTTTTTCTTCTACTTCCCCACCTATCTTCTTCCTCCTTCTTCTTTTCCTTCTTCTTCTTCCTCCTCTTCCCCACCTATATTCTTCTTCTTCTTCTTCCTCCTCCTCCTCCTCCTTTTTCTTCTTCTTTTTCTTCTTTGTCCTCCTACTCTTCTCCGCATATCTTCTTCTTTTTCTTCCTCCTTCTTTTCCTTCTTCTTCTTCCTCCTCCTCTTTCTCCACCTATGTTCTTCTTCTTCTTCTTCTTCTTCTTCTTTCATGCTCACATTAAATATTTGGTGGTTATCCCTGGAGAATGAGTGGCAAATAATCTACTCAAATATCGAAAACCTTTCCTCAATATCCTGCCCTCTTCTTAGTCTTCTTCTTCCTCCTCCTCCTCCTCCTTATTATTGTTCTTTCCTCTTCCTCCTCCTTCTTCTCCTCTACGCTTTCGGCCATATTACGTTGAAACACCGATTCCTGTACAATCACAGAAGTTAAGCAACGTTGAGGCAGGTCAGTACCGAGATAGGTGACCGCTCGGGAATACCAGGTGTTGTAAGCTTCGATGTGCGGGTGGTATAATGGATAGTGGCTCGCAATTTTTAATCAGAGAGCCGAGTTCCAATTCCGGTTGGGTTCATTATATTCACTTACGCGCAAATACCATTAGGAATTGTACAAATCCACTTCTTTTCTCCCCTCTATGGATTAATTAGTAACACGTGTTTCACTAAATTATTACTATCCCCCAAAAATAATTTCTTACAATCTAAAATATTTTCTGGATTTAAATAACCTGCAAAAGGGTGATAAGCCGTAAAAGATGAACCACTTAATCAAAATACTCTTCGCTTTCTTCTTCTTCTTCTTCTTCTTCTTCTTCTTCTCTCTAAATCTTATTTTCTTTTCTCTCTCCCCTTTCTCTTTTGCTTATATCTATTGCTTCTTCCTTCACTCACTTTCACGTTCTCTCTATCTATCTATCTATCTATCTATCAATCTATCTTCTTTAAACACTTGCTTTCTCTCTTCCTCTTTCTCTCTTTCTCTCTTCCTCTCTCTCTCTCTCTCTCTCTCTCTGTTTCTCTTTGTATTTTGCCCTTTTTCCTTTACTCATTTACCCTTTCCCACTCGTAATCTCTTCGTTCTCTTCCTAACTCTTTACTTTACTTTAACTTCCTCTCTCTTCTCTTTCCTCCTCTCTCCTTTACCCGCCTCCTCAATATTTTTTATTCTCTTTCCTCGCTCTCGCTTATAACGCCTCTTCCCCTTTAGGATTTCCCTCTCTTCCTGGCACACTGCTCCTCACTCTGTACCTGTCGCTTTATTTCTTCCTTGCTCTTTTTTCATACTCTCTATTTTACCTTTTTCTCAAACTCTTCCTTTCGCTCTTTTTTTTGCCTCTTTACCTCTATATTTGCTATTTTCATTGTCTTCAACTTTCCCGACTCATTTCCATCACCTCTCTCTCTCTCTTTTTCTTCTTATGCATCCCTTTTTCTTGATCTCCCCATTTTCCTTTATGATTTCCCTAGTAGATTCATTTTTACCATTTCTTTTCTTCTTTTTAGTTTTCGTTATATCTATCTATCTATCTATCTATCTATCTATCGCAGTCTCTTCATTATCTATCTATCTATCTACCGAAGTACCTCCATATCTGTCTATCTATCTATCGCAGTCTCTTCATATCTATCTATCAGTCTCTTCATATCTATCTATCTATCGCAGTCTCTTCACTACCTACCTATTTATATATCTATGTATCTATCGAAGTATCTTCATATCTATCTATCTATCTATCTATCTATCGCAGTCTCTTCATTATCTATCTATCTATCTCAGTCTCTTCATTGTCTATCTATCTATCTATCTATCTATCGCAGTCTCTTCATATTTATCTACCTATCTATCTCATCCTCTTGCCTTGCTGACAAAGCTAACCTGGCTGTTGGTCTTGAAAACGACCTCCAATCTGTAGTTGACGGGGCAGAAAATGGCTTCTGAATTGTAATGCATCCAAAACGAAACTGCTGCCATTTACTCACCAGAGAGAAACATCCCTGCTTTCTGCCAGTATGGTCGATGTTCAACTCCATGAGGCCGCCTCACTGCGCCTTTTTTGTTTCTCATGTTCCCCACTCACCCGAGACGCAACAACTGCATTGAATCAATAGCTGCATCTACTGCAAGGAAAGTTGGTTCTCTGTGTCACACCAGAACGTTTTTCTCATCTGAGTCCTTCCTTCAAATCCACAAATCTACCATTCGTCCATGCATGGAATACTGTTACCATATAGGGTCTGGCGCCATTGCTGTTCATTTCGACGTTCTCGACAAAATACAAAGACGGATATGCAATGTGATAGGTCCTGACCTGGCATCTCGACTCCACAGTCGTGATGTGGCTTCCCTCTGTCTTTTCTATAAATATTTTCCATAGCTACTGCTCTCACAAGCTGGTGCCCCGACTGCATGAATTTAAGCATGCTACCAGTTTGGCACCACGGCCCCACCCTTTCACTTTCGAAACAGTTAAATGTAACCACCCCTTATACTCCAACAGCTTCTTCTCTCGCACTTCCCGACAGTGAAACTACCTTCCTCTTACTTGCTTCCCTGATAACTATAATCTTAAAAAATTTAAATGTAATGTCAATCGATATGTTCTGTTGCCTTGACCCCCGTTCTTCTTTTCATCCTTTCCTCAACACCCCCTACACCTTGTCTTTTCCCTTACTTACACGCTCTGTAACCCCTTGCGTACTAGTAGCTATCCCACCTTGTTTGGTGTGAATTGCTTCATTATTCATTTATTAGTTATCATGTGTGCTTTTTTTCTTCTTCTGCCGCTCTTACAATCTCTCATTACTTTTTCTTCCTCGCTATTTTCTTTATCGACGAATGCGCAGGCACACGCGCATTGCAAAAATTTTAGACAAGTAATGATTCTCCACCTTGTAGACGTATCCAGCCCAGCGGAGCTGGGACTTCAGTAGCATGCTGCTGTTCTTCGTCTTTTCAAGGACTTCAGTATTGGTGACGAAGTCACTCCATTGGATGTTAAGGATTATGCAGAGTCCTAGTTGGAGACTCACGACTCTGAGCCGTACAGGAGAGTCTCGAGGGCGATAGTGCTATACACTGATCTTTGTGCCCTTCTTCAAGTGTCTGCTCTACTACACATGTCTGCCAATATAGTCTGCCAAATGCTCGCACTTACCAGTCTGGTATCGACCTCATTGTTGATCCTAGCCTCTGACGTGATGGTACATGCAAGGTAGATAAAACGATGGACCGCCTTCAGCCAATGATGATGCGGGGAGAGAGGTACTCATCCCGAGACACAGGCTGTCGGAGTACTTCCGTCTTCTTTAAACTGACTTCAAGCTCAAAAGAGTTGGACAGTCTCTGTGAGGCAGGAAGTGGTCCGCTGCAGAGCTGCTTCTGTCTAGGCTATGAGAGCAGCATCGTTGGCAAAGCAGAGGTTCCGGATAAGTTCCTCCAGGGTCTTCGTGTGGGTTTGTAATCGTCATCCCCATCATCAAAATCTTTCGTGGATTGTTTGCGCATCATGCTGAAAAAGATAGTAAAGAGAGACGGTGCCAGGACGCAACCCTGCTTTACACTGTTGGTGATCGGGAGGAGCTTTCAGAGATCACTGGTGTTGACCACTTTGACCCTCATACAGCTGGATGGCCCTGTTCAGGAACTTTGAACGATAGCCGAGTCTCTCCATAATCTGGCATATATATATATATATATATATATATATATATAATTTTAAGACATTTTTATGTTTATACATTCTTTTTATAGATACAAATATTTAAGTAAATGCTCTGTTTTATAATAAATCGTAATTAATAACATTTACCGGTCTGAATGTCCGAGAAATTTTCATAGAAAATATTCGTCCTCCGACAGGAATCGAACCTATACGGAACCTTCATTTAGCCTGACACGCCTTAACCGATCGAGCGACGAAGAATCGTTCGATTGGCAAGCTTGATTTTTTCTTTTTTCATCTTTCGTTTCATTATTTGGAAGTGATATCTGATGATCGGAAGTGATATCTGATGATCGGAAGTGATATCTGATGATCCAGCGTCCCTTAAAAGGGCTCTGGTGAAATAAATTATTATAATGGAACCTTAAAGTGGTCTCTTTTTCTTTAAATTATTAGCTCTGGATTTACATTGAGCTCTCAGGATTTCATCCTCCTTGGGATTACCCATACGGATTACCAAGTTTTTCATAACTTATATATATATATATATATATTTTATGGAAATAAAGCATAATATTTTTTTTTAAATCCACATTACAACCAAAAACGTTTACGGTACCTCTCTTCTTTTTAATATACACTCTTTTCTCTCGTTGGAACCACTATAATCTCTTTCTTTTATATATATATATATATATATATATATATATATATATATATATATGTTCACTCATGTTGTGTTTTCAATATTGTTTGACGAAAATTTACCCATGGTTTCCTGTGTTATGTTTTCATTGTTGAATTGTGTTAGACCGACTCCTTTCATATAGAAACCTCGGGAGCATTTAAGCTTTTTTTTTAACATGTGTAATGCCGAGTTACTGAAATATTGCATTTCCAATATGGCCTGTTAGTTTCGCGTAAGGGAATGTAATGAACCAGACTGGAATTGGAACTCAGCATTTAGATTTCCAATTCCGAGCCGTTATTCATTGCACCACCTGCATAAACAACACCTGGTATTCCCAAATAGTCACCCATCTGACTTGGTTCTTAACTTCGGTGATAGTACAGCAACAGATGTTTCAACGTGCTATGGCCTTGAGCCGTTACATATGCAGCAGAAATAAATATATTACCTTTGTATCATCTTATACAGTACTGCTAATGATCTGAAAGTAAATGTCTATCGAATATTCACCAATAAAAAATGATCTCGTAAACTTCTATTCCCACTACAGCAACCAAATAAAACCCTGAATAATTATCAGTTTTCCTTTTTTAACCATTAGTCCTGAGTATTTACATGATGAAGAGAAATACTTTAAAAATACTGTCGTACTTTGTCAGAACTAAATTCTTTAACTCAAACGCAAGTGCTCACTTCGACATCCACAGCTCATATGACAGAAACAGACCTTAATTTCGTCCGGCTGTGCGCACCCACTTCAGAAATACTGCCCCAAAATACCGGGGTTATAAAACATAATTTCTGTCCAATCAGAAAAAGCCAACGCGGTTTTCACACGCGAGATAAGATCCAACTAGGTTGACATTAGCGACTAGCCCACAATAGGCAAACATTACTAGGCCATCAGCAGCGACACCAAGGCTACTGCAATGTCTTCCGCCAGGGACGAAATCAACGACAGCAGTAGACATTAACTCTTGGCTACAACAATACGAGAATTCATGGAATATTACTCCCACGTCGAGATAATTAGCCCGCATATGTCTCGACCTCATATGCTGGCTAATTATCTCGATGTGTCTTTCTCGACTACTGGGTTGTTTTATACCCCTAATGAATTCTCAGTCTCCCACAACTCGTATACCATAACCCGGGACGAGCAAACAATCAAATCTTGAAGGTCACAAAAAATATCAGATCATTTCAAAAGATCGTGACCAATTTTCAATTTTTTTTAAACGACTGCAACGTAACATTGGCTTTTGGTTTGGTTTGATACCGATTTCTGGTGTGTTCTAGATTGAAACCTTTCATCGATCAGTTGCGAATCTGAGTTCTTTTTCACAATGATATCCATCCTGTACAAGACCCTAGGGTCACTCGAGGTAGTATATTACAGAGTAAGCATTCTTTTGAGAGACTGTTCCACAATTATGTGGTTCGTTCGATGCTGCTCGAGTGGAACTTGATCTCACCAAAGGAAGACAATGTGCGTGACATGGCGAGTCTTAGCCGTTAAGGTTAAACATTTTGTGGAACTAAGGATTGTAGTTCGTTTGAGCATTTTCCATGCAGACAGCGATAGAGCAACGAGAGGCTTGCGACGTCTTGTCTATGAGGAAAGGAATTTAGTGGGGGGGGGGGGAGATTGCGTTTGGCAATTGTTTTGGTTGGCGATTTTGGTCGGGTGAGATCGACTCAACTCACTCGACCTCATATGCGAGCTAATTATCTTTCTGGACTACTACGTTGTTTTATACCCCGAATGAATTCTCAATCTCCCACGACTCGTATACGATAACCCGAGATGAGCAAACAATCAAATCTTGTAGGTCACGAGAAATATCAGATCATTTCAAAAGATCGTGACCAATTTTCAATTTTTTTTTTAAACGTCCGCAACGTGACATTAGCTTTTAGTTTGGTTTGATACGGATTTCTGGTGTGTTCGAGATTGAAACCTTTCATCGATCAGTTGCGAATCTGAGTTCTTTTTCACAATGATATCCATCCTGTACATGGCTCGAGAGCCACTCCAGGTAGTATATGACAGAGTAAGTGGTACAGTTTATGCAGATATTTGCGGAAGATGATCCGAAACTGGATCAGCTTAAGATTGTAGCGATCTGGGAAGCATCATTTTGAGAGACGGTTCTGTGGTTCTTGTGAAGATGCTGCTCGAGTGGAACTTGCATCTCACAAAAAAGAAGATGTGTCGGGTCTTAGCTGTGAAAGTTAAACATTTGGTAGAACTAAGGATTGTAGTTAGTCTGAGCATTTTCCATGCAGACAGCGATAGAGCAGCGAGAGGCTTGCGACGTCTCGTCTGTAAGGAAAGGATTTTAGGCGTGGTGTGGGGGGGTAATTGCGTTTGGCGATTGTTTTGGATGGCGATATCTGGTGTGTTCAAATATTGAAACCTTGAATCGTTCAGTTGCATATCGGAATTTATTGAATGTTGACGGTTTGTCTCAAAATGAATGCCTTAAAGATGAGAATGAAAAATGACACTTTCGACATATTATGATT